CAGATGGGTGATTACTCGGTTTCCCTGAAGGCGCCCGGCCGCAACAAACACTTCCGCGTGCACGTGGAGCAGAACATGTATTGCATTGGACAGCGCAAGTTTCATTCGCTAGACCAGCTGGTCGATCACTACCAAAGAGCGCCCATCTATACGAACAAGCAGGGCGAGAAGCTGTATCTGGTGCGACCGCTGCCAAAGGCCAATGGCACGTAAAGAGGGAAACAAACAAACAAACAAACAGAAAATGAAAAACTCAACATAGATCATCCAATATATTACTCGTAATATAACTAAACAAAACATACACAACATAATACAACTTCAATGATATAGTACATACGTATTAACATGGCATAGAACATAACAAAAAGCAAAGTATGCTGCGCGCTGTCCAAATCCTTTCTTCAGTTTTGTATGCTTCGCGATAAGGAGAGAGGGCGAGAGTATCTATATGTATATAAATCGGTTGATTCATGTTCGCTGATTCATGTTCGAATGCGTAATAGACAAACACACGGACTTTTTGTACTTTTATAAAATTTATATATATCTAAATTAATTAATGCATAATTCGGCTAGCTTTGATTAATAACTGTTTTGTTAACATTAGTTCGCTTGATTTTCTTTGTGAACCATGGAAGAAGATGAAAGCAAGCGCATAAGAAATATAAATGAAAGAACCAAAGGCTTCTTTTTCTCTCGAAACACTCAATTCTAGATGTCAACATGCATTACATTTACATACTCTATATATATGTATAAATACATAATATACGATATTTAAACATTGTAGCCAAGTATTGTGTACACAGCAAAGCGCTTTTAAAAACTGACTTAAGATATGTAGCCGTATGTCTGTCTGTGTGTGTGTTCGAGTGCGTGTGTATGAGTGTTTGGATATATAGCACAAGAAGAAATTCACTCTGTGCGTATGCATCTATGTGTGTGTGTCTGAACCATATAAATCTCACGATCGAAGTCACATATATGCATATGAATAAATCTACAGCCAATCATACCAATATCTTATCGAGTATGTAAATATGTAGGCAGAACGCTTACCCGCAATCCAACAAAATATAGTATATCAAAAGCTGCTTAAAGAAAAACCCAAGAAGTTAAAAACAAAACAAAAAAAGACTAATTGTGAAAACTTAATTAGTTCTCTAATTTGCTAATAAGATAAGATGCTTCATGACTTCAACTACACACACATCCACAGTCACTTTTGTATTGAACATTTTTTTGATTATCATCTAAAGATAATGTTATATATTCTACATACGGAATATCCACAATAATAATATCCAAATACAAGCTGTTCTAGCCGCATAATTATAAACATAATCAACATCGTACGAAACACACATACTTAAGTGGAGCCTCCCCCCTATTATACATAATTAAATAATATATAAATATACATATATGATACGCATATAAGCCATACTGTACAGTTGATGATGCAATGCCTAACCTAAGCACACTTTCGTATATATACATACTTTCTATTTATAGTTTACTCTTACTATCATTAGTTGTATTATTATTATATATTTATAAAGAAGTAGAAGCAGCGATTCCAGCTTTAATTTTGTTTTTAAATATTACATTTTGTTTGCCGTTTTATTTTCTAATTTTATATATTATTGATTTGTTTTTGATTTAGTCTAAGATTTGTGAGAAGAGAATATCAATCTGATAGTTGGACCGATGGAACAGAACGGTTAGAGCTAGTTGCTTTAGCAAAAGGCGCTGAGTGGTTTAACCATATGGTTAAAAGGACTTTCGACTTTATTTCATATGCGAATTTTATAAAAGAAAATATATATATATAAACATATAAATATAAAGATTAAATAATTTATAGTAATTTCAAACAATTGCTAAAATCACAACTAGTACTAAAAAAATGAAAGAGAACAAACTAGAAATTATACCGAAACGGAAATGAATAAAAATACATCAAATAAATTATAATCGC